CAGAAGTTGTGAATGCTCCAATACTGAAAATTTTTAAGAAGAGATTGGACAACCAATGGTTTGAAATGGTATAGGGAAGGGGTGTCCAACCTTTCACCTTCCCTGGGCCACATTAGAAGATGAAAATTTGGTTTATTTTCCGGCCAAATTTTGTGGGGAGGGGGAGAAAGTTCGCCCGCCTCACGCCTACCTCCTCTCCTGCAAATGGCCCGGCTGGATGAGGGAGGACTGGAAGGCAGAAGCAGCAGCAGCGGCGGCGGCGGGGGCAGAAGTGGCGGCGGGGGCAGCGGCGGCGGGGGCAGAAGCAGCAGCAGTGGCGGGGGAAGAAGCGGCGGCGGGGGCAGAAGCGGCAGCGATGGCGGGGGCAGAAGTGGCAGCGGGGGCAGCAGTGGCGGCAGGGCAGAAGCGGTGGTGGCGGCAACAGCAGGAGGTGGCGCTCTGATGGTGCCCGCCTTTTCTGTTGCTGCTTGGCCTGGCGGTCGCCTCGCCCCGCCTCGCGCCTGCCTCTCCTCCTCCTCGCTGGCTCTGGCACGAAGGTTGGGGTGGGCACTGGGCCGCATTACGAGGTGACCTGGGCCGCATGCGGCCCGTGGGCCGCGGGTTGGACAAGCCTGATTTAAATGATATTAGAAAAACAGAATATGATAAATTTGGGGAAAGTCAAAATGTGAATTATAGGCTATGGAAATTAAAAGGGAAACTTAACTTTCTGTTTTCTTTTTTTTTGTTGTTGGGACATATGAAATAGAAAATGTAATTGATTATATAAAGGATATGAGAAAATAGAAAATATGATAAACTAGAAAGGATCATATAGGAATATGAAGTATTTGTAATGAGAGTATTTTTGATGATTAAAAACAGGGGAATGAAAATTTATTAAAATATATAGAAAAACTTTGGCTAAGTGGAAAGAAAGAAACATGATTATTATAGAATTATATATAAGATAAACAAAGATAAAGTGAGAGATATTAAGAAATTACTATTGTGATTTTTTTTTTTTTGTACATACATACATTCTAAAATATTCAGTTGATTATTCAGTGGATAACAGAAATGTATAATGAGAGTTCTTCATTATGATTAAAGTAGGGGAATGGAAAATTATTAAATTACATAGATTGAGGGGATAAACCATGTGGATTCTAAAAATATTAGTTTTATTTTATTTTTACTCTTTTTAGATTGTTTATTATATATCGGCCTAGAGAAAATTAAGGATGATAATGATGTATAATGTAAAATAAAAAAGGTGGTAAGCCGAAAATTGAAATAATAGGGGATAAAGAATTGAAAATATATGTGTGGATGAAATGATATTGATATTGAATTAATGAATTGAAATATGAAATGGAAATTTATTTAAAGATAAGTGGAATGGATAATGACATGAGGTGATATATACAAGATAGATGGAAATGTAAGTAATTACTATGTATAAATGTTGTAATCTGGAACCATGTTGCTCACGTGAAGAGATGTGTAAAAAATAAAAAACTCTGGGGAAAAAAACATCTTATCTGATGAGGCAAGAGTGCTTTTTATCTTTTAAGGAAAGCAGGCAATGGTGTTTACAACTAAGATACTAGTGTCTCAACTAACACTCTGTTAAGACTTTTTAATGATAGGCAGTTGTGTGACTGTTGTTTTGGGCATCTGCTTATGGATTTTCCAAATGCATCCAAATAATCAGTGTGGCAAGCTGAATGCTGAATAAGATGGGCCTTTGGTCTGATCTATCAGGACTCTCATTTCATTCTTAGGAGAGACAGTTTGGGAGCTACAGAAAAAAATTCATCTGTCGTGACTTAACTTTTATTTTTTAATGATCTGGGTTCCTCCCCCTCCCCCCTTTTTTTGCAGAAGTAAGGTGACTTCAGGGGAAAGGGAAGTTAATAGTATGGGCAGTCTGTGGAGGCATTACAGCTTTGTTGCAAGAAATATTTTATGAGAGAGAGAGAGAGTGCCATTACTTTCTAGTATGTCAGACAATTCATCTAGATAGGGAGACAATCTTCAATGTCACAAAGAGAGAAGAGCTCTTTCTATTATCTAGACTTGTCACTTTAAAAATTTTAAGGAGGCAATGGGTTAAACGCAGGGCTACATCTGAACACGAAATATATATATTCTGAATATATTATGGGGTTTTTTTACTTTTGATTCAGGGATATGAATTGTGAACAAGTTTAGTGTCATGTACTTTAGACAAACAAATTGTAAATTCTTCTTTACCTATGTATTATATCTTCTGGCTGATTTACTGAATTTGGCAGTTTCCTAGGAGAGAAGCTCTGTTGAGCATCATAATTAATTGATAACCCATCCATAGAGATACCACCTCTAATGAGTAATGGGTTATAATTTTATTACAGTCAACTGCATTCTGCCTTCCTTGAAACTACCTCTGTGTCCCATAATATAAAAAAAATATTTTATAAAAAACAGGTTTTCTATGCGATACTTTTCAGATATTTAAAATATATTCTTCTTAGGCATCATTTCTCGGCACTCAAACATACACAGTTCCCTCAATATCTCCTCATAAGACTTAATTTTCAATTCACTATTATCCTTACTAACCTTTTTGCCTGTTTCACCCAATTCTTCTGAGTCTTTCTTAAAGTATGGTGTCCAGAATCAGAGATAGTAGGTCTCAGCTATTGAGAATAAAGTGGAAATATTACATTCTCCAATTTGGAATTCTGTATTTCTGTAGTCTAAAATTTTGTTTGCATTTTTAATAGCTATGTTACTTCGTATTTCATATGCTGCTTTGTTATTCATTTGTGCTCACCTTCAGAATCCATTTCATACTTATTGCAGAATAACAGAATAAGAGAGTTGGAAAGGCCTTTGGAGGTCTTTTAGCACAACCCCCTGCTCTGGAAGGAAACCCTATGGTCTCTCAGTCTGGTTCAGTAGGAATGACAATCATGGGAAAGACTGCTGACCTGACAGTTGTGCAGAAAACCATCATTGACACCCTCCATAAGGAGGGAAAGCCTCAAAAAGTAATTGCAAATGAAGTTGGATGTTCCCAAAGTGTTGTATCAAAGCACATTAATAGAAAGTTATGTGGAAGGGAAAAGTGTGGAAGAAAAAGGTGCACAAGCAGCAGGGATGACTGCAGCCTGGAGAGGATTGTCAGGAAAAGGCTATTCAAAAGTGTTGGGGACTTTCACAAGGAGTGGACTGAGGCTGGAGTCAGTGCATCAAGAGCCACCACACACAGACGGATCCTGGACATGGGCTTCAAATGTCGTATTCCTCTTGTCAAGCTGCTCCTGAACAACAAACGACGTTAGAAGCATCTTACCTGGGCTAAAGAAAAACAGAACTGGTCTGTTGCTCAGTGGTCCAAAGTCCTCTTTTCTGATGAGAGCTACTTTTGCATCTCATTTGGCAACCAGGGACCCAGAGTCTGGAGGAAGAATGGAGAGGGACACACTGCAAGATGCTTGAAGTCCAGTGTGAAGTTTCCACAGTCTGTGTTGATTTGGGGAGTCATGTCTTCTACTGGTGTTGGTGCACTGTGCTTCATTAAGTCCAGGGTCAATGCAGCCATTTACCAGGAGATTTTGGAGCACTTCATGCTTCCTTCCGCAGACGAGCTTTATGGGGATGCTGACTTCATCTTCCAGCAGGCCTTGGCACCTGCCCACACTGCCAAAAGCACCAAAACCTGGTTCAATGACCGTGGTATTACTGTGCTTGATTGGCCAGCAAACTCGCCTGACCTGAACCCCATAGAGAATCTATGGGGCATTGCCAAGAGAAAGATGAGAGACATGAGACTGAACAATGCAGAAGAGCTGAAGGCTGCTATTGAAGCATCCTGGTCTTCCATAACACCTCAGCAGTGCCACAGACTGATAGCTTCCATGCCACGCTGCACTGAGGCAGTAATTGCTGCAAAAGGGGCCCAAACCAAGTACTGAGTACATATGCATGCTTATAATTTTCAGAGATCCGATATTGCTCTATGTACAATCCTTGTTTTATTGCTTGCATGTAATATTCTACTTTTCTGAGATTGTGGATTTGGGGTTTTCATGAACTGTAAGCCATAATCATCTCAATTATGACAAATCACTGCTTGAACTATCTTGCTTTGCATGTAATGAGTCTATCTCATATATTAGGTTCACCTTTTAAGTTGCATTACTGAAATAAATGAACTTTTGCATGATATTCTAATTTTTCGAGTTTCACCTGTAGATCAGATGGCTATTCACATGTTAATGCAAGGTAAATTACTAAAGGAGGATAAACAGGTTTCCATTGATATATCCCAACTGCAAAACAAAAATGATAAACTATATAATCAAACTGATAAGGAACACATCTGTAAAGCCACTAACAAGTTAGTCAAGCTTCATCATTAGCATACAGAGGTCTTCCAAAATGTTTACTGATATATCTGTGGTGAGAAGAGAGAACTGATTGTAGGCATAGAGAAGGGACCACACAACCTTCTCTTGAAAGAGAGATGTCTCCCACTGAAGAAAGGCTTCTACTCCACAGTTCCACAGAGTATGTCTGCACCGTCCTACATTTGAATACAGCATGGCTGAGTGGGGCTGTCTACCGCACATTTCAACATCCTTTGCTCAACCTAACTTCACTTCGAGCTGCTGTAGATTCAGGATCACACTATTTTCAGAGGATACAGGTGCCCAAGCCTCACCAAGAGTATAGCTTCATTAGCTGAGAGCTACCCCACAAAGAGATTTAACCACAGCTCCCTGGTATATGGGGAGGGGTGGAGGCAAAACTCTGAGCCATTGGGGTGGGTAGATATAATTTCCTGCTCTACTTAAGAGAAGAGAGGCCTCTTGAAACTTCCTGTGGTTTGGGCCTGGGAGGGAAGGGAGAGATAGCAAGACTCATGTGATTATCTTCTTAAGTGGGAGGAGAAACTAGGCAGGGAGATGTGACGAGGCATCTTCTATAAATGGGCCAAGCACCACTGCCTCCATCTCTCTTTACTTCATCTGGCAGCTGGTTTCCCTGGTGGTCCAGAAAGATTGTGAAAAACCAAGAGGTAATTTTACAAAATTGCTATGGGCTGTTAAGGGGAAGGGTGGGGCTCCATGGCTAGTTGCTCCAGTTTCTAGCCCCAGCTATGAACCTAGAAGAATCATTTGTCTCATAGAAGACAATGGATCCATGGGCTCCTTGGGAGTCTCACTTACCAGTGTATCAAGTCAGATATTCTGAGCAAGAACTAGGGCAAAATTGTCTAAAGGGAAGATAGAGAAAGGAGTGCCTTAAGGTCCATATTTTTACAAGAAGCAGGTGGAATAAAGAATGGGGCTGTTGTCCTTAAGTCTGTTAAATTCCTATGTCTATGGTTGCAAGTAAATGTTTCAAGACAAAAAAATTAATAAATCCCTATTCCTCATATTATCCTACTTTAAACATATTTAAGATGGAAAGCAAAAATTGGGAAGTTACATAAGTCATAGTCCAACTTCATAAGTGGAAATGTGGCAGAGATGACAGTGAGGGCACATTTTGGCTTCTTCAGGCACTGTTTAAGGGAACTTTGAAATTTAACCATGTGCCCTCTAGTGTTGAGAAAGAAAATCAAAATTCTTTTCAAACCAACTCCCCTCTCCAGCCCAAGAGTGTTAATGGTGTTTTAAAGGAATTCTATACCCTCTGTTCCATTGTTCACTAAGGCTGTTTCTTTCTGTATAGAAACCTATGTTGTTTGGGTGTAAGGAAATCCCTGCACCTTTGCACAGAACCTTGATCTGAAAACTCTCCTTTGACTCAGGATACAATCAACCTTCCTTCATGAATCCTGCCTCTGGACCAAGACTGGCTGGTAAGACATGATGCATGGTTTCTTTTCTTCCATTTTGGAACCACAGTGAAATGCAATGTCAAAGATAGAATGGAGCATAAGTGATCCTTTCATATTCAAGAGTTTGTAAAAGCATACTCTGCAGGAAAGGGACCTACTGCTCTAAAGGCAAAGTTGAAAGGCATTTGCCAAAAATCATTGAAGGAAGTAGATAAATTGACTAAGTTAATGCACAAAGGATCTAGTTCAATTATTCTCAACATGTGGCTCAGGCCACTAATGGTTTGCAAGAGTACTGCAGGTAGCCTCTAGCATGGATGCTGAAATGGCCAAAACTCAAAGAGAATACAAGTCTCCAATATTTTTAGTATTCTTGTTTAAAATTCTGGCTTTCCTCCCAAAATCTCCTAAGGTTTTAGACAGAAGCACTATAGCAAATAATCTATGAGAGTTTTGTGTTCTCAAAATTTTTGGTCTTTTAAAAAATTAATTTCGGTTGAGGTTCAGAGTGATCCTACATAGTATGGTGCTTCTGTAATGGGACCCTAATGCTTTCAACCCCAATGCAATGATTTCATAAAAGAAAATGTATAAACTGCTGCTTCAACAGGAAGAAGGGCAGGGAGAAATCAAAGACAATGAAGAAAAGAAAGATGGATATGGGATCTCTAGATAAATTAACCATAATATTCTTTAAATGTCAATATTTTGAGAAAAAAATACGGGAAAGAAATTTCATCAATTTATTTCCACTGTTTTAAAATCAAATTAATAATATATCTCTGAACCTGCTGCTTTGTAAAGCTCTTTGGCTCATTTTGGAAAATATTTAATATATTTAATTCTTTATTTAACATTCCACTGCATTTATTGGGGCTTATCCCAACAGCCATAAATTATTGTGCTGCTCTTCTATGGCTCTGCTTGCCATATACAGTAGAATCTCTGGTCACGACCATAATTTGTTCCATAACTTTGGCGATTTCTTTGTCTTCTAATGTTTCGTCTTCAGGAATTTCTGGGTCAGGGGTTGTGTTTGATTGCCACCCAAGTATGTGTTCGTGACCAGATTCAAAAAATTTGTGAATTTTTTGGTTGGAACATGATTTGGTGATGGTCAGAAGCATTCGTGACCAGAGGGTCCACTGTACTGCATTATTTAGAAATAAGTCAAGCTGATATTTGTAAAGGTCATATTCAAGTAAATGTGATCAGACCTAAATTCAAAATGAGATCTTCTCTGAGCCAATGGATATATCAATTTTTGTTTTTAAATCTTTGTAAAGCAGCACATTACACCAGAGAATTTATTAGGAGCTAACATGACGGTATGACGTGTGTAGCCGATTCTGAGACACATAATTCACTGTCACCCTTGACCCTGGTTTTCCCCCACCCCTCTGGGTGTATCATAATTCATATTCTCCAGTGAAACACATCCATAGCCAAGAGTCATCAATCATGTTCTCCACTTAGAAATTTGTGCGCCAGAAACTCATCACCTAGTTACAATCTCTGCAAGATATGAATGGAATGCACTTTTGATTCCAAACTGCTGCGCTGCTCTTTCAAACTCCTTCCCCCCTCTTCTGTTGGCAGCTATAAAACGGGCATAGAAATGTTTTTTGGGTTGACATTGCCCTATAATATGGTGATTGAAAAACAATGTATTTACTTAATTAAAATCAAATTGTATTCTGGTAAATTCTCTATCACTTTTAGAATTAAAATAAAAACCTCTCTCTAAAGAAATGCTCTTTATCCTAGTTAAATATCTCATTTCCCAACCTAAAATATAATTAAGATAGGTCTCCACAGCATTCATCTTACAGGCCACATGTGATAGTAGGTCACACTAAACCTGTTTACCTATAGCTGCCCCCCCCCCCAAATACATTTACCCATTAAACAAGCTAATGCTTGGTTTTATAGTACTGTACCCTGAAAAATGGCTATACTTTGTCTTCCTTATCTGACTGGGCATTGTGAAACAGGTATGCTATTCACACTATGCTGTACTGTTTAAGGATAGTAAGGTACTGTAGCTGATCAACATGGATGGCTGCTTTTCTCAGCTTTCACCTGTTATCTCTACTAAATTTACTTATGTTGGATTTATGTCCTACTATTCTCATGCCGTTTACATAAGGATCACTCTTCATTTTATCTCCCTCCACCAAAATGTTATGAAACTAAGATTGACTGAAAGTTGACCTGTTTATTGTTTTTCTAAGCGTGAGTGGAAAAGGCAAAAATTTCAAATAGGATTTGGTGTGCTAGATCTTCCTTTTTCAAAAAACATTTTTTCATTAACTAAAACTAAATTAGGGTGCTTTTGAAAGTTAAATCCTGACTTTTGAAAAAGATGAAGTCAACTTCTTAACATGCAGCAGAGTTACCAGACTGCTAAAATTATACTGGTTTTCAAAGCTAATTGGTCACCTTTTTTTAAATTCTCAACAGAAATACTTGCTTTCTACAGCAAAACCTGAACTACACACGTCTGTCTCCACAACCTGCAAAACACCTAATTCTGCCAAAGAAGAGATTTCAAGGTGAGGATTGAGAAATGCAGTATCAAAGAAATGTCATTCAACAGCTTTCATTCAGATTTTTTTTTTCAATTCATCACCACTCTTCAATGATCAGGCATTCTGCTAAAACCTCAAAGCACAGACAATTTATCTCTAATCCAGTAGAGAGTAATTCTGTGTCCTTTCGAAGTTTTGAACTACATTTTACAATCTTGCAGCTCCAAGTGCTATTTGAGCAGAGTGCATGTGCAGAAAAACTGAAATGCATTACCTACCTCTACTCTAATATCACACCGCTTACTGGGTAATCTCCAGAGCTAAACATTCAGTGTAAACAATTATGGAAGGTTAAGTAAGCTGGAGTGATGGCTACCAATTTGGAAAAAAAAAGTTTATTTGGTTAAACATGCACTGGGTATGTTTCAAAATTTTTAGCAACAGGTTCTCTGCCTGGTTGATGGGTGGGCGTGGCCTAGTCGGCCTCCTGTGCCACGGTGGGGGGGGGATGTTTTTGCTCTCTCCGGGTTCTGGAGGCTTTCCTTGAGCCTCCGGGAGGGAGAAAGTGGCCTCCCCGGGGTCTGGAGGCTCTCTGGAAGCTGGAAATGGGTCCATTTCCGGCCTTCCCGTACTTCCAAGAGGCCTGTCTTTTGCCCTCCCTAAGCCTCCGTGCACACCCTGCACTTACCTGCATCCAAAATATGCCATATGGGGACTCCTGGGAGGGGAGACGAGGGGCGGGGTGGGCGGGACCAGCCAGGAGTGGGATTTGGGGGTTCTCCGAACTGCACAGAATCTTAGCTAGGGGCTCTCCCGAACCCCTATGAACCCCCAGCAGCCCACCCCTGGGTAAGCCAGATTTTACCACTTACTTCAGGACCAATTATACAGTATGAAGACATCAAGAGACATACCTGTTTTTTAAAAAATAATTCTGCCATTATTAGTGAAATCCCTGTATAAATAACCAATATGCTTAGCACTTAAAAAGAGGGTAAGAGAGTGGGAATGGAAAAGGAAAGATGAATTTAGTTCAGTTTCACAGTTAGGTTTTGGTTTAGCGCCTTCACCCAAAATGTGCCTTTTAAGGGCAAAGGAGAACTAGTAAATGTTCTCCTCCCCCACCCCCGACATTTGGGGAAGGCATTCCAGAAATCAGAACTGCACAGGGACAACCAAGATAGGAAGAGATGCATAAAAAGAATTTGGGGTGAAAAATGAGCATTGACTTTCTACCCTGGACTTGGTACACACTACTAAAAAGTGCAGGCTGTGCACATATTCATATATTCTCAGCACTTTGCCATGTGAACTGGTTCAAAGGAGTCATATGGAATGGCCATCTAAAAAAGTGGAATGTCAAGCACCAGTTTTTCCCTTTCAAAGTGTTTTTACTTATAAGCTAATTCACAAGTTAGTCTTTCTACAACTGGGGCAAGAGGGCAGGGTGGCGGGAGATGTTCAGATAGAAGGAAATAGAAGAGAAAAATAGAAAAAAAATTAAGCCATTTACAGAGAATTTGGAACCTTATTTTCTACACAATTTTGCCATGTGTATCTAGTAAAGCAGTGAACCCATCCAGATTTAATTTATTCGCCATTTTATCCTCTGTTGCTAGAAGCAGTGGAAACTATATATATATAGGCTGTGAATGTATCTGGGCAGCAAGAGTACTTTTAATACTAGCAAAAATGCTGTCTCACTCTTAGCCCACAAAACAGACTGTCAAACCTCTCCTCCTGCTAGCATCTCCCTGTTTTATCAGCCACCAGGGAGCTGTCAGTGGGTGGGGCAGGGGAGACTTAGGAGGAGGACAGTTCAGAAGTTGGTTCTGGATGAAGACAACAGTAGAAGCTAGTCACAGATCAAAACTACATTTTATGGACAGTGGACTCATCCATAAAGTAGAAAGCACTACTAAATGCTTGTGTCCAAGTGTAGTGTTTCCTACTTTATGGATGAGTGTACTGTGAGCAACAGGAGCAACAAGGGACAACACAATCAAGAATGGAAACCAGAAGCAGCAGCATAACATGCAAGTATTGTCAGATTGTCCACAGATTGTATTGCACATTTTATTTAGGTACAGATTCCTTTTGATGTACTGCCATTATATTCATCCCTCTTTCCCAGCTTTTGGACTGACAATTCCCCAAGCTACATTTAGGACAATTTTGCATGTTTTTGCATTTAAGTAAAATAAAGGAGAAAAACTAATGAAATGGTTATTTGGCTTGTACTTTTTCTTCATGCAATTTTGCTATTCCGTCTGCCTTCCACAAGTCATATTCTCTCAGCTACGTTCTATGTTTTTGAAGAGTCAAACAAAAATATTTTTAGTTGAGCAAAGCCAAATTCAAAACTCATTAGGTTTTATTTCTTTTGCTGATTACATTTAGAAACTCATTATAATTCCCTCCAAATCTAAATTAATTTTGCCATTTAGGGAAGAGGTTGACTGAAGTGTGAAGAATGATGATGACAGGTTAAGCTAGTAACTATGTATGTGGAAGGGGCTCCCTAACACTGAAATATCTCATGTCCATTAGTGTAATGAAAATAAAATATTAACACAAATATACATTGAATTTATTCACAAAGGTTGGAAAAGCTAAGGGCTCAACAAACAGGCATTTTAAAACTTCAAATTCAGTGATGTTGTGTTCTTAACCAGTTTGCTGGTTAGATACAGAGAACATTAGTTGCATTAGGTTCCATTGGAGAAAAATATTAAATAATCTATTAACCTAAACTGGACTTTGTTTACAAAAATACCAGCCATTTAGCTTCTTACTCTTCTAATATTTAGTTTATCCAATCAATCAAATATTATGTTATTTAAAGGAAACCTAAGAGTCAATTTGGTGTAGGGGTTAAAGGCACTAGGCTAGAAATCAGGAGAACATGTGATTTAGTACTGGCTTTAGGCACAAAGCCAAATGGATAGCATTGGGCCATTCAGTCTTTCTCACCCTTTGGAAGAAGGTAATGGCAGACTATTTTCTAAAAACGTTGGCAATAAAATTGCAGGGATTTTGTCAAAACAATCATCAGCCTTGTTACATCCAACTATATGAATGCATGCAAGTATGAATATCTAATACAATGTCAGCAGAAACTACTCTGCTCTTCCTTTAAAACTTGTGTGCAGAAACTGTTCATTTAAAACACTGCCTGCCTCAAGAATTGGCACTTACTAGTAAAGTTGTGGAGAAAAGAGTAAGTAGAGTTGTTTTATGTTTATAACATGAAAAGAGGGAAGTGCATTTTACTGCATTTACAGCCCTGATTTATTTTTATACACCCCAACCTTCATCTGTTTTAAAGTCTGCATGCCACATGGGAAGATTAAAGTGCAATTCAATTTACCTGAAAATCCCGTGCAGGCATCACTTCCAGATACATATCTTTCTCAAGGATTAAAGTACTGAAATGTAGATTCAAGAACTTTCCCATCATGGCTACACATCCTGGTACTGGTGTCTTAATTACTATTTCTCAAACTCTGTATTTCAAAGAGCTGTTACAACTACAGTAAGGAAAGTGACACAGAAAGATATTGGATTCTCGGGAGTTCTCAGAACATGAGATGTCATCTTATTCCTTAAAATAAAAAACACAAGTTTCTTACCAGGATTGAAGGCACAAGACCTCAACATTTAGAAAGAGGTTTAAAATCCATCTACACATGCCAAGGCGGCCAGGAGAAACAAACAGCAGGCATGAGTAAATAGGCAGGTTGTGGGCTGTACAGGTGAAACTTGAAAAATTAGAATATGTTCATTTATTTCAGTAATGCAACTTAAAAGGTGAACCTAATATATGAGATAGACTCATTACATGCAAAGCAAGATAGTTCAAGCTGTGATGTGTTGTAATTGAGATGATTATGGTTTATAGCTCATGAAAACTCCAAATCCACAATCTCAGAAAATTAGCATATTGTGAAAAGGTGCAATATTCTAGGCCAGGCTTGTCCAACCCGCGCCCTCAGGCCGCATGCAGCCCAGGTCGCCTCGTAATGCGGCCCAGTGCCCACCCCAACCTTCGTGCCAGAGCCAGCGAGGAGGAGGAGGAGAGGCAGGCGCGAGGCGGGGCGAGGCGAGCGCCAGGCCAAGCAGCAATAGAAAAGTCGGGCGCCGTCAGATCGCCACCTCCTGCTGTTGCCGCCGCCGCCACCGCCGCCGCTTCTGTCCCCGCTGCCGCTGCCCCACCGCCGCTTCTGCCCCCGCTGCCGCTTCTGCCCCCGCCACTTCTGCCCCGCCACCCCGGCTGCTTCTGCCGCCGCTGCCCCCGCCGCCACTTCTGCCCCCACCGCCGCCCCCACCACCACTGCTGCTTCTGCCTTCTAGTCCTGCCTCACCCAGCCGGGCCATTTGCAGGAGGAGAGGTAGGCGCGAGGCAGGCGAGCTTTCTCCCCTCCCCCCCTGCAAAATTTGGCCGGAAAATAAACCATAATAAAAAAACCGTGATAAAAAAACCATGATAAAAAATAAATATTTTTTAATAAATAATTAATAATAAATAATAAAAACATCTCACTAACTTCATTTGCAAATAAATTTAATATGTTAACTATGTTTTCTATGGTTTTTTTGGATGATCAGGTATCGTTACTGTTATTTTATTTTATGTGCGGCCCAAACCAAATTTTCATCTTCTAATGTGGCCCAGGGAAGGTGAAAGGTTGGACACCCCTGTTCTAGGCTCAAAGTGTCCCACTCTAATCAGCTAATTAAGCCATAACACCTGCAAAGGGTTCCTGAGCCTTTGGTTTGGGCCGCACATAAAATAAAATAACAGTAACGATACCTGA